ATGTCTTAAAGGTTGCAGACCCCTGCACTAAGGGGAGGACATGTGTGTGGGGGAGGCTCGGAAGGTCAAGGGGGGGAAAAAGGAGACAAATGTACTACTATATGTAATACTTTAAACAATAACTCTTTTTTAAAGGCGCCACCAGCCCTGGCCGTGTGGTTCAGTTGGTTGGAGTATCGTCCTGTACACCAAAAGGTTTTAGGTTCAATTCTAGGTCGAGGCGGGTATGAGAGGCAACTGACAGATGTTTCTTTCTCTCTCTCAGAAAAATAAGAAATAAAACCACCACGTCAGGAATCAAAATCATTTGCTGGAAATCTTGCCATATCTTAGCATAAATTACAACAGTGTGTACTCCCCCAATGCTTTCAAAATAAAGCTCATCGCGCCTTCGGAAGCCTGCGTACCTGTGTGCGGTGCTTAGACACCTGCCCCGGCAAAGCAATGTGCTCAGTCTACGTTACTGTTATTAAATACAATCACTGAAAAATAATAATAAAGATAAATAAATGTAAATATAATCACTAATAAGTGTTACAGTTCTTCACTTAAAACCAAAACATCTCAAGAATCAGATTATCCACATTTAACTCCACTTCACCTAGAAACAAAAGCTTCAACTTCTGATCATATCATCTAGCTATTCCAAAGAACATCTCTCTGAATACCTAGAAATGCTGAGTAAGATACATAAAAACATCCTTCTAAATGCATGGCTGACCTCTAACAAGTAAAAACATTTACCGGTGCCAAAATCAGAGAGAGTATTGCCAAACCCCGAAGCTGCAGGCTTCCCTGCACTACTCGGCTTCGGGTCAGAGGAGGTGGAGACTGGAACCCACAGGCCCTGCCAAAGCCGGAACGGAACCCCTGAGCCTCAGAGAAAGGGTGGGCGAGGGGAATCGGACTTGATGGCAAAGGAGGCTGACAATGAACTTGGCCTTATCTCAGCACTGATGGCAGTGCGTAAAGAATCTTCCCTAAGATCTGCATTCACTCAGCATCAGTCTGACTTCCTTCCTTTCCACTGAGAAGGAGCTCCACGCCGGGCAATTTGCCTGAGGAGCACACCGAGTGAACGTAGGCCCCATCTGCGTCTCACCCGGGTCCCTCAGCATCGCCATGGAGACCAGCCACATCATTAGAAATGGCCAGGGAAACGGGCCATGAAGATGCATCGACTCTGGGAACTTCCACACCAAGGTCACCGGTCAGAGCTTTGTTCACAGGCCTGAGGTCTGCCCGCCTCGGCCCAGGCACTCGGTGCCTGGCTGGGCGCAGCCACAGAAGGGGGGCCTCGGAACACGCATGTGGTGGGGACTCAGATGACCCCACACAGGAGAGATGTGAGGCCAGGTCATTGCCGTGCGACATACAAAGTAAAAAGGCACGACGAACTCTATTTTATTTAAAAAGAGCGAATATCGAGGGTTACTTTTCATGACTGAAGCAGGACGCACAAAATCTTTTACGGTTTCCAAACACTAGGACTAAAACACACTATTAGTATCTCTTTCAGCAGTATTTCTATTTCAAAAAAAGGAATCCTTCAAGTTAACACATTATTTAAAAATGGGAATTTCACTGCACTACCTTCCTTAAGCCCCAGCGAGCGTGGCCTCTCCCTCGGCTACAATGAGAGGTGGGCCGGCCCACAGCAGGGCTGCTGGTCTCCAGCGAGAGGGCCAGCGAAGGGGCCAGCAGGGAGCGCTTCCTGCTAGCGTTGCGGTGCCTGTGCGGGGCGCCAGCAGCCGGGCTGCTCGCAGAGCCTGACGGCCTGGGAAAAGGGGCAAGATCCGCCAGCTGCGACCTGCATGTCGGCACCGACACCCGTGCAGGAGGTCGGGGAGGGTCCGCTCCCTGAGGGCAGAGGGTGGCAGGCACAGTGCTGTCTGCAGGAGGTCTCGTGGCACGGACTGTCCTTGTTTTCATTGTAAAATGAGGAAATACGATCACATGGAAAGACAATTTACAACATAACCACACACAGTGGAAAGGGTTATCATAGGACAAGCACACAAGTCCCATCTAGCTCTGGAAAGGGAGCATCTGGAACAACTCCGAAGCCCCCTGTGCCCCTCTCCCCCCGGCTCTCAGCTCCACTGCCAGAGGCTGGGCAAACCACGCCTCGCGTGTCCTTACACACGGAGGTGTGGCCCAGCCTTCCCGCCCAGTGCTCACTCTCCTTCGCGCCCCGTGTGCTCAGCCCCTCTCCGTCACAGAGCGCACAAGCAGTGGGAGGTTAGGCCAAAAAGCTGTTACATTTTACAGGGAAAGCTGGCGAACAAACCAGAATGCTGGTGCAGGGATGAGCCATGAATTCCTCCCCTACAGCCAATGTACATCGGCAGCTGTTTAGTCCAAAAGCTGCCTGACAAGCACGGAGCGGTTTCTGTTTGTTGTCCATCCTCACCCGAGGATATTTTTCCACTGGTTTTTAGAGAGAGTGGGAGGGAGGAGTAGAGTCAGAGAGAAACATCGATATGAGGGAGACACATCAATTGGTTGCCTCCTATGTGCACCCCGACCCGGGCCAGGGATTGAGCCTGCAACCAACGTACGTGCCCTTAACCGGAATCAAACCCAGGACGCTTCAGTCTGAGGGCCGCCGCGCTAGCCCCTGAGCCAGGCGGGCCAGGGCGAGCACGGAGCAGTTTCTGAAGAAACCGCTGAAGTGTAGCCAGCAGGCCGAGGGGATCCCGACCCCCAGAGGGACCCCCGCACCCGCTGCACAGGAGTCCGGCCCGCTCTGCCACAGACCGCCCACTTCCTCCCCTCGCGTCCCCTTCGCCATTGATAAGGGCACAGCTCAGCATTATCCTGGCCCGGGCGCCACTCCTCTGGCTCTGCCAGGAGACCGCCCGTCTGGCCGCGTCCTGTTTCCCTCAGGTGCAGCTTCCTCAGGGCACTCGCTGCTTCACTGTGGCAACTTAACTTCCTCACACAGACATCCAATAGTCAAAACATTTAAAAAGGAATTTGACAGGAGCTGGGAATGGTTTCCCGGACAAACACGTCACCATTAGGACAGCCTGCTGCCCACTTTCTTAGGCTCCGAGCAGAAGAGTGCTTAAAAATAAATAAATAAAACAAAAAGCAAAGTGTGAATACCAAAGCAGCAGTCACCAACTGGTGGTCCGTGAGGGCCTAAAGGGAAACAAAGGACCGGCTTTTCTGAACTAAAGCCCTCACTTCACTGGTAGCTCAGTTCTGACCCCATTAGACTCCCAGGGGTTCTGACTCTCCCGGGGAGGCGCCCAGCGGGGTTCTGACTCTCTCCCGAGCCTCCCAGGTCCGTGTGGCAGGTCCCCGGCCTGTTTTACGCTCTCCTGCATCTCCAGCCCTCGGATGGGCTTGGCACACGGTAAGCGCCGGACACATGCTTATGATGTGCGCACGGGACAGCAAGTGTGGCAAAGGGGCAGAAAGCGGCTGTGGATGGCTGTGGGCAAAGAGTTCTGAAGACAAAGCCATGAAATCTCAACAACCTGGCCGAAACCAGTTTGGCTCAATGGATAGAGCGTTGGCTTGGGGACTGAAGGGCCCCGGGTTCGATTCCGGTCAAGGGCATGTACCTTGGTTGCGGGCATATCCCCAGTGGGGGGTGTGCAAGAGGCAACTGATCGATGACTCTCTCTCATCAATGTTTCTAACTCTCTATCTCTCTCCCTTCCTCTCTGTACAAAATCAATAAAATATATTTAAAAAAAAAGAAAAGAAAAACCTGCTGAGTGCTAACAAGGGAGATCATACATTTAACTCCAAAACCCAAAATCAGAAACTCGGGTCATGTTACCGCTCTGATCTATTCTTCTGTATGTCACGCCGTACGTTTAACAAATTTATAGCACTTTTGTACTGATTATTAGCTCCTCACACATTTCTCTGTGCTTCTGGCACTCACTAGCAAGAATTTCTTGTGTTGCCATCTGCTCTCTTCAACTAACTTGTGTAGAGCAAGAAAAGGTTCCCAGAGAGGATTATTCTTGAAAACACATGCCAGGCTCTACTGATCATGTAAGAGGCCCGCTTTCTTCTTCAGGAACACACTTCATTTGGAAAAAATGCTCTTTCAGCCCAGCCAGTGTGGCTCAGTGGATGAGCATCGTCCCATGAATCATGAGGTCACTGGTTCGATCCCTGGTCAGGGCACATGTTCCGGGTGCATGCTTTGTCCCCAGTAGGGCTCGTGCAGGAGGCAGCTGATTGATGTTTCTCTCACTTCGATGTATCTCTCTCTCTCTCCCTTCCTCTCTCTGAAATAAATATCTTTAAAATATATTTAAATATATATTTTAATATAAACTATAGAGCCAGTCTGCCCAAGTTCAGACAATATTGCCACCATTCACTAACTCCTGGTCAAGTCCCTTAACCTCTCTGTGTCTTAGTGTCTCCCTGTTAAAATAGGGATCAAAATAACACCCACCTCATAGAATTTTTCTGAGCATGTGATGAGTTAATACATATATGTAAAGATTAAATAATACCTGGCATATAGTAAGTGCTACATGCATGCTAACCATTTTTGTTAGTTTAAATTGAGTATAGCCCTAGCTGATTTGGCTCAGTAGATTGTCAGCCTGCTGATCAAAGGGTCCTGGGTTCAATTCCAGCCAAGGGTACAGACCTGAGTTGCAGACTCAATCCCCATTAGGGGGTGTGCAGGAAGCAGCCGGTCAATGTTTCTATCTCTCTCACCCTCTCCCTTTCTCTCTGAAATCAATAAAAATATTTTTTGTTCCAAAAATACATCCTTCCAAAGTTTCCTGCCAAGTTTTAAACACTAAAATATTCTCTTTTAAAATGATACTAGATTTTTTTGGAGGCAATGTTTTAATCTATATCAACCTCAATTGAAGATGACTTCAGTATTGTCTGGGTGAGAACCTAAGGCCATAGTCTAGTAAACGGGCAGTGAGCTGTCCTACGCTGGAACTCAAACAGGTGAACGTCAGCCCGGGCTCGGGCGTGCGCGTGCAGAGGACTGTAGGACTCACCTCAAAGTTGTACTTTTTCATCCGGCTGAGCCGCCGGCAGTACAGGTAGAGCATGCCGGTGCTGCTGCCCACGGCGATGTAGTCCGCGCTGGTGTCGAGCGCGGTCAGGTAGACGGCCACAGAGCGGAAGCCCTTCTGGATCTTCGTGGGAATGGCGTTGAGGAGGTAATACAAAGGGCAGAACTCCCTGAACGTAACTGGCTCCGGAGGGGAGGCCATGGCCACGGTTCCCTCGGCGGATCTTCAGGAAGGGTGAGGAGTGCTGATTTGGCATCTGGGGACCCCTGGGGGCTAGAGAACAGAGAGAAGTCATGTTCCATAGAGGGAACAGGAATTCAGGTGGGTAGAAATCAGCTGGAGCCGAACTAAATGGAGAAAGCAAGCCAGCTGTCATTCAGACCACTTTTTTGGGAGAGGGGCATTTAAATTGATTTCAGAGAGGAAGGGAGAGGAGAGAGAAACATCAATGATGAGAATCATCGATCAGCTGCCTCCTACAGGCCTCCCACTAGGGATCTAGCCAGCAGCTGGGTCATTGACCAGGAATCCAACTGTGACCCCCTTGGTTCAAAGGCCTTCCCCAGGTCACAGGCACAGCTCTGACAGACACGGCAGCAACAGGTGGGCGCTCCGCACCTGACCAGCTGCAGGGGCAGTGACCAGCTGCAGGGGCACTGACCAGCTGCAGGGGCAGTGACCAGATACAGGGGCACCTGATCAGCTGCATGGGTACCTGACCAGCTGCAGGGGCACCTGACCAGCTGCAGGGGCAGTGACCAGCTGCATGGGCAGTGACCAGCTGCAGGGGCACTGACCAGATACAGGGACACCTGACCAGCTGCAGGGGCACTGACCAGCTGCATGGGCAGTGACCAGCTGCAGGGGCACTGACCAGCTGCAGGGGCACCTGACCAGCTGCAGGGGCACCTGACCAGCTGCAGGGGCACCTGACCAGCTGCAGGGGCAGTGACCAGCTGCATGGGCACCTGACCAGCTGGAGGGACATTGAGCCCTGTGGGCCTCATGGAGACCTCCAGCCCTCGCGGAAGCGTCCGGTGCTGGGTCGCAGCCTGTGTCAGCGCTGAATCCTACGTCTACGGAGCTGGCGACTGACTCCAACCTTCCACGGGGGATGCGCGTTCCCGGCCATTCAACACTAGTCCCTGCGGGGATGTCCCCTCCACCCCGGCCTCCCCGGCCCCTCAGGCGGCTCCTTGGGACAGAGGAGTCCACCCAAGTGCAGCTCGTCCTCGGCAGCCCAGGCGGTGCGCGGGCGGCACCCCGCCGCCAGCAGACAGAGGCGACAGAACAAAGCCGGCATCCGGGGGAAGCGGGCGGGAGCGGGGCAGAGGCGCGGAGCAGAGCCGTCCTTCGGGCACGGGCACGGGCTCACCCACCCCGCCAGCCCCGCCAGCCCCCCGCCGACGCCGCAGAAACGAGGCCCCGGTCCACAGGGTGATCGTCTCCGCCGGCGCAGAGCCGCGGCCGCGGACCTGCCCACCGCACCGGCGCGGCCCGCTCCCGGGTCGCTGTGCGCACCCCGCCCGGGGACCAGCCAGGTCTGGCGGCCCGAGGCTCGGCGGCGGCTGGGTCCATCCCGAGCCCGGGGGCTCGGAGCGGCCGGCGGAGGGGACGGAGGCGGCGGGCAGTGGGCGGAGCCGGGAGCCGGGAGCCGGAGCCGGAGCCGGAGCGGGGTCGGGGTCGGGGACGGGGGCGCGGCGGCGGAGTGGGCGGAGCCGGGGGCCGGCGAGGGGCGGGCGACAGCTGCTGCCGGGCGGGCGCTCCGTGAGGGGAATCAGCCTCGGCGGGCGGGCGGCCCTGAGGCTCCGGGCGCGGGGCGGGGGCGCGGGCGCACTCACCTCCCGCGGCAGCGGCCCCTCGGACGCGGCCCCGCAGGCGGCGGAGGCGGGGAGGCCGGGCCGCGGGGGCTGCCGGGAGCCCGTTCCCTGGGCCCCGGGCCCGCCCCACGGGGCACAGCCGGCTCCTGGGGGCTGGAGCGGCAGCGCCTCCAGCGGAGACCGGAAGTGACGCGACTTCCGGCGCGTGGGCGGGGCTCCGGCCTCCTTCCGGGGAGATCAGCCGCATGGAAGGTGCGTGAGTCGGGCCCTGTCCGGGCGGATGGGGGGCGGGAGCCGCGGGTGGGACGGGGTCCCGCGGGGCCCTGCGGGCGGCCTGGGCGGCAGTCGGCGGAGCCTCGGTTCCCGGCGCGGGGCGGGGTGACGCCTGCCGGTGCCGCCGTCCGGCCCTCCCGGGGCGGCTGTCCTGCGGCGTCAGCGGCCGCGGGGCGCTCCCGAGCCCGGTCAGAGCCGCGCGCATTCCAACCGGGGTGTCCCCGGAGGCGCACACGCACGGAGGGATTACGAAGGCGGCGTTTGTTAAAAGATTTCATTTTCACACCTGAACTGCCAGCTGATTAGTCAGTAAACTGCTCTCCGGGGTTCTGAGAGCCTCTGGCAGTTTAATCAAACCCAGGGAGGTATAGCAGGTCCGCCGGGAGCACTGGAACAGACAGCCCGGCCTGCCCCTGGCCTGTGAAGTGGAAGGTTGGGGGCAGGGACAGTCTGTAGGACTGAGCCCTTACCCTGAGGGACCTGAGGCCCTCTTCGGGAAATAGCGTCAGGACAGAGGATATTGCTGGGTGGAGATGGAAGAACACACTGGAGAGGTTCCGGTGGTAATACGAGGCCGGATACTTGCCATGTGCAGGCCCTCACAGCTTGACATGTATTATCTAACCTTTACATAAACTCTTTGAAGTAGATATATCGCACCCCCATTTTACAGATGGAACATTGAGGCTCTAAGAGGTTAATTAACGTGCCCGAGATTGCACAGCTGACAAGGACAGAGTTGGAGTTCTAATCCAGTCCGTATGGTCTTTAGAGTCTAGACTCCAAACTAGACGCTGTGTGTGCTGGACTCCTCCGGGGCCTCCCACAGAGTCTGGACATAATCCTGTGGGCCAGGAGTGGTCTTGGAAGGGAGGGCACAGAAGGCCTGGAAGAGGGTTGGCTTTTAGGTCTGAGGGTTGCTTCCTGCAGGAGCTGGGATGCGGGTGAGTCTTGGAGCATGGGCAGCCCTAGCCCAGGAAAGGGAAGAACTTTCTAGCAAAAGGAACTGCATGTGCAAAGACTTGCAGTGACTCCACTTTCCAGGATCTGCCAGGAGTTCATTTTAGCTGTAGATTAAGGGGGTCACAGGGGGGGTTAGGGTGGACAGGAAGCAGGTCCTGAAGGACTGGGACTACCTTCTGAGTCCTCCGCACGGAGGTGACCGCTGCACTTCCAGTGCCAGCCTTGCGGTGTCTGGAGAACCCCCAAGCTATGGTCAGATGTGAGGCATCAGAGTGCCTGAGGCCATGACGAGAGCACTGGGCTGGGGCGTGGAGGATTTGGGCACAACTCTGCCCTATCCCCAACCTTTGGAAATGGTCAAAGTGCCCTGACTGGTGTGGCTCAGTTGGAGCAGGATCCCACACACCAAAGGGGATCAAATCTCGGTCAGGGCACAAACCCAGGTTTCAGGTTTGATCCCCAGTTGGAGTGTGTGCGGGAGGCAACCAATTGGTGTTTTTCTGTTTCCCTTTTCCTCTCTTAAAAAAACACACACAAAAAAAACACACGAATAAAGACATTTATTGAAAGGTCAAAGTGCTTAAGGTAAAACTCTGTGGAGCCATTAAGCTGAGAAAGGACTCAGCCATCTCCGGAGAGTCTTCAAATGTGAAAATAGTTGTTTTTTTTGTTCTGGGAACTTGCCCAGTAGTCATCATCCTTCTTCATCCCTCTGTCCAGAAGATGTAGCCTTTCAGATCGGTTTACATTGAGAGTTATGAGGACATTTGCCCTCCAACTGTGATAAAAAATTTGACAAGAATTTCACAAGAATTATGTTTCTTTTACTGTCTATCAGCAAAGACCCTTGGAAGTGCAACGTCCCGAAAACCTGTCTTATCGGTTAGTGCGAGAAAAATTAAGGACAATGCAGCCGATTGGCATAATTTAATCCTGAAGTGGGAGACCCTTAATGATGCAGGCTTTGCTACTGCAAATAACATTGCCAACACGAAACTCAGTTTACTGTAAGTACTGCCCGTGCCCCTCCGAGTTAAGCTGCCTAAGGTTACATTTTTCTTGTGCTGTTGTGATTTATAACAAATATCTATTTGGTTTTTCTCCACAGCTCCAGAAATCCTTATAATTTCCCAGTTGATTGGAGCGATGGGAGAATTTTTTGTTATAACGTTTGGTATTTTGTCCTCAAATAGTCTCGCTCCGGAAATAGCTTCAGGAGGAAAGGAGTGTCCGCTCGTTGGTAACAAGCCCCTTCCCACCAGCCTGAGTTTATGTTAACAAGGTGATATTTGGAAAGCCCCCAAAGAGGGGAGTGGTTGCCAAGGGAAGCAACCAGGCCATTAGCATCACCCCTCTGGGAGGCGAGGGGCTGGAAGTTGCATTAGTCACCAGTGGCCGGTGGTCCAGTCCATCCTGCCTGCATAATGATGCCTCCATAAAGTCCCAAGAGCAGAAGAAATTCTGAGATGTAAACAGGGACACCTTGATGTGGGAAGGGACAGGAGCTCCTGTTCGGGGCCCTTCTGGACCTCGCCCTGTGCGCCTCTTCATCTGGCTGTTCTTCAATGGCCTTTATCATAAGCTGGAACCTACTGAGTAACCTGTTTTCCTGACTCCGTGAGTCACTCTAGCAAATTACTTGAACTGGAGGCCGGGGTGGTGGGACCCCTGGATTTATAGCTTGTCAGTCAGGAGTACAGGTACCAACTCGGACCCCTGGGAGGGTCACTCTTGGGGAGAGCCCTTCACCTGCTGTGTCTCCAGGTTAGATTAATATATAGATTGTGTCACCACAATATGTATATGCACACTTTGAAGGATTGTAAAGCAGTGTTTACTAAAATACATTTCATTTTCAAAATGAAATTATCAGCTTTCAAGTATGTATCCACTTTTGGGAACACCCTGTATACATGTTTTCTTAAACTTCTCAAAGTTCTAATTACATGAGTGGCCAGATTATTATGATCTCTGAATGTATAATAACCTAGACACGTGTGTGTGTGTGTGTGTGTGTGTGTGTGTGTGTGTGTGTGTCTGTCCTCTAATGGCCTGGTTGGTTCCCTTGGCAACCCCCCTCCCACTTGGGGGCTTTCCAAATATCACCTTGTTAACATAAAGTCAGGCGTGGTGGGAAGGGGCTTGTTACGAATGAGCGGACACTCCTTCCCTTCTGTAAGTACTGCCCATGTACTTACATTAAATTATATTAAGCAAAAAATATAATTTAAAGGTGCATGAATTTGTGCATGGGTGGGGTCCAGCCAGCCTGGCCAGGGGGAAGGAACATGGGCGGTTGGCCCGCCTGCCTGCTGGTGGAGCTCCTGGTCGAGGGGACAGTTTGCATATGAGCCTTTTATTCTAAGGACAGACACTGAGTGGCCAGACTATCATGCGTCCAGAGATCATAAGGACCTGGCCTCTCCGTGTGTGTACGAATATCCCCCAGCTCACCTGTGCCTACAGGCCGAGTCCAGGCTTTCCTCGCTGGCCAGGCCGCCAGTGCCCTTCACATCGTGTGCCAATCCTCTTTAATGTGGAATTTCCTCTGTCAGTGCCGCTTGTGACTCTGCTCCATGGGGTCATAGCCTCAGCCTGCACAAGGCACCCCCAGCTGTGAACTCTGGGGAGTGGCCCCGTCTTCGCCATCTTACCCACACCCCACCCTCCACTGAGGGGGCCACAGGCTGAGTGTAATTGGCTTTTTCTCATGCAAATTGAGTCACTGATGGACGTGTTCATTGCACGTGTCAGTGAGCGAACACGTTTAAGGACCCACAACACCTGCAGCACATCTGACAGCGTCACGTGGATGTCGAGTGTGCGCGAGCTTACGGACTGTGATTGGTGCCACCTTCCATTTGGTCCAGGAGTCAAGACAGGATCGAGTCAGAGCGCCGCAGCCAGTCTTGCGATGAGAATGCCGAGCAGAGGCCGCGGGAATACAGCGCGGAACTGGAGGCGCTGTGCGAGGAGTTGCGGGCCACGTTAGACGGCTTGGTAAGACCGAGGCCTGGCTACCCACCTGCTGCCCGACGCCCCGGGCGTGTCTGAGGTTGCCTGGCTCTCAGGACCCCAAGGCGGGCTTCTCCGCTCACACGTTGGATTTTCCCTCCTCCGCCTCCTCTGCTGGACTCTTTCTTTGCCTGTCCCTAAGTCTGCCGTCCAAGATGCTGTCATAGACTTTTGTTCTCTTGGTCCTGAGGCTGGCCGGGGCCAGGCCACCCGCGCAGGGCTCCATGGTAAACACGCCGAGGCTCTGTGGGCCCCCAGCATCTCTCGTCACCACTCAGCTCTGTCTGGAGGCGAATGGCTGTAGCTGTACTGCAGCAAAACCTTATTCATGGACTTGGAAATTTGAGTTTTATATAATTTTCATGTCTCATACATATTCTCATTTTCAACCATTTAAAAGCCCCATTCTTAGCTGGCAGCTTATACAGAAATAGGCTCCATGGGCAGCTGGCCAGGGTCCTGGTCTGGCACAAGAACTGCTCACAGGGGCTGTTTAATGGACTGATTACGGAAGGTCAGTGTCCCACATACTGGCCACCAAACGTGGATAAGACATGCCACCTCTTTGCAGGGCACAGGGATAGGGGTTTGCACATGTTTGAACTTAGATAACTATCACTCGCTCATGAACATCAAGTCTATATTTTAACTTCTGATGGTAATGCTTCTTGTTTTGATGGGAACATCTCAGTAGTTTTAGCCTTTTCTTTTTTAAATATATTTTTATTGATATCACAGAGGAAGAGAGGAAGATAGAAACTTCAATGATGAGAGAGAACCATGTATCAGCTGCCTTCTGCACGCCCCCTACTGGGGAATGAACCTGCAACCCAAGCATGTGCCCTGGATCAGAATCAAACCCAGGACTCTTCAGTCCACAGACCTACATTCTATCCACTGGCCGCACCGGCTGGCCAGCCTCTTCTCCAGACTGAAATGCAGTGCCGACTTCAGGCTGTTTTGATGCACCGGCTACTTGTCTCCTCTCGAGGATTGGGTCTTTGTAATTGTGCTGTCCTCTCACTTGGCCTTCCCTCTACCCTGGGGGTGCTGTGTTCAGGGATGGAGCGGGTATCCTTCCTTCACCCTCTTCCTCCTCAAAGAGGTTCCACAGACACAGGCAGTTGAAAGCATCAGAAATGAGCTCATTTAATGGCTCCCCGCTTCCACAAGAGCAGGAGCCTGCCTGGGGGTTGAATCCGCCGGTCTTGGTGCTAGAATGAGTGCCGCTGGGAAAGCCGAGCGAAGTGGGCTGCGGTGGGGTGGTTACTGAATGACCAGGTGAGTGACGTCACAGCAGCCATCTGCCTCCGGCCTGCACTTGCTGTGCACGGAGCCAGCGGGGTGGAATTACTGTACTTTTGGTCTCGACAGACTTACATGTCTTAGCTGTGAAATCTTGAGCTGTTGAATCTGAGACTGGAGTAGGTTTCAGATCTTAGTCTCATATTCCATATTAATATCTTTGCAGACCAAAATACAGGTGAAAATGGAAAAGCTGTCTTCTACCACCAAGGGAGTCTGGGAGCTGGAAAAGTACCATCACGGGCCAGACGGCAGCCCGCCGCCCATGTTCCACACGTGGCCCACTGCCCACTTCTGTGAGTCCCTCCGTGGGTGCCGTGGTTCCGAGAGCCTTTGGTGCCACGTAGACTGGCGGGCCGACGCGCGGGCAGGCTCTGACGTTTAATTCAAGGTGATCCGTTGGGAGGGGAGGAGCCTGGGGGGACCTTAAATAAATAGAGCATTTATTATTGGCTTAATCACCTAATCAGCAGAGTAACAGAGACATAGAGACCCGTGCAGCAGGTTGCAATTATTGGCCTTTTAAGCCACTGGGTAGAATGCAGAAGTCTTTTTTTTAAGATAGTTCTTTTACCTTTTGCTTTAAGTAAAGATAAAACTTCAGCCGAAACTTGTTTGACTCAGTGGATAGAGCGTCAGCCTGCGGACTAAGGGCCCCAGGTTCGATTCCGGTCAAGGGCATGTACCAGTAGGGGTGTGCAAGAGGCATCTGATCGATATTTCTCTCTCATTGATGTTTCTAACTCTCTATCCCTCTTCGTTCCTCTCTGTAAAAAAAACAAAACACAACAATAAAATATATTTTTTAAAAATATTAAAGAAAAAAGATGAAACTTCAGTGAACCTCATGGGAGAAGGCTGCTTGGGAATGGAATCCTTTGCTTTCCTAAGCCCAGGCAGTAGGTTATTTTTAGCTTTATTGTTTAAAGAGGGCTGAGCCCCTGGGTAGTGATGAGAGCTCACCTTCCTAAGCGAGAAAGGCTGACGCCACTAGTGGGTGTGTGTTTGTTGCCAGGGGAGGCTCACCCACCAGTGAGCGCCGTGCGGGTTCCCAGTGCTGAGGTGACAGCCACCCTTCATTCCGGGTGCCGACCGCGTTCCCCTGCGGAGCCCGCAGCCAGGTGTGCCGCCTCCGTGCTTGGCCTCTGCGCCGGAGCCGAGTGTGGCGTTCAGCCAGCAGCTTCCGCCTGGGCTTCCTGTGTGGTCACTAACGGGAGACTCGCATGTGTTACAGACGAGGTGTCCCGCCGCCTCTCGGACATGTACGGGGCGGAGCTGCTGCTGAAGCGCACCATCGTGGAGGAGCTGGCGCACACCGCGGACCGCGACCTCTCCCTCACCTTCCTGTCGCTGTGGCTGCACCAGCCCTACGTGCAGAGCGACAGCAGGCTGCTGCTGGAGAGCATGCTGCTCGAGACAGGGCACTGGGCGCTGTGACTCCAGGCGCCTGCTCCCCCGGCCTCTGCAGCGCCTGCCGTGGACAGTCCTGCATGTAGGACCCAGGGCCGGGCCCCGGCATCATGCCCCGGCCCCCTGCTTGGGGTTGTCCAGACTGGACCGGTTCACCAGCTTCCCGTGGCCTCTGCAGACACAGTGATGCTGCGAACTGCCTGCCACACAGTGTCACGGTGCCCACGGTGAACCTCGCATCCTGAGGACCTCGGCACGAAATGAGTGTGATCCTGTTTCTGTAAACCAGGTGGATCTCACACAGTGCACTTGTGCAGCAGAACCCTGGTTTTAGTTTTTACTTTATACTTACCTGTATTGTCTGAGTTTTTGAGACTAGTTTTATAATTACAGCTACTGTTTAAAACAAGTTTGTCCAGCTGGTGTGGCTCAAGGGTTGAGCGTCAACCCATGAACCAGGGTTCATGGGTTGTCGCTCAACCCGTTCCTGTTCAAGCACATGCCCAGGTTGCCAGCTCAATTTGGAGTGGGGGGTGCAGGAGGCAGCTAATCAGTTATTCTCATCATTGATGTTTCTCTCTCCCCCTCTCCCTTCCTCTCTGAAATCTGTAAAAAATATATTGCAATGGCTGGCTTGGCTTAACAGATAGAGTGTTGGCCACAGACTGAAGGGTCCTGAGTTTGATTCTAGTCAAGGGCATGCATCTAGGTTGTGAGCTCAATCCCTGGCCCTGGTCGGGGCATGTGCATGAATCAACTCATTGCTCTCTCTCTCTCTCTCTCTCTCTCACATCTATGTTACTCTGTCTCTCTAAAAACCAACGGAAAAATGTCCTTGGTGAGGATTAACAAAGAACTGAAAATATTTTAAAAATACCAGAGATAACCGCGCCAAGATGGGATCATGAAATGAAAATTCCTACAGAAAACTGGCCTGTTTGCATCCTGAGGTGCCACCAACCAGCCGAATGAGGTTTCCTCCATGTCCCTCTCTGGCGGAAGGCCATGCTGGGCCATAGCTGAGTGAGCATTGGAGGGGTCACTCCTGCCATGCTCCCAGACACAGTCTGGGCTTCATGCAGTGGGATGGGCTGTGACCTCATGAAACTAAAGTTCGAGGCCCCAGGAGCAGTGCTTCGGGGAAGGAGAGGAGAGGCCCCATCCGTCCGGGCTGTCCTGGGAGCCGCCTGCACTGCGCCGTGGCCTTGCAGAGCATGAAAGGCACGATGCTGAGGGGTCCTGCCCCTCCCTCTGCAGAATTCGCCAAAATCTAACCGCACCACAGCAGGAGGCCGCGGCCAGGCCTCTGGCAGGAACGCCTGCTGCCTCAGCAGGCTGCGCTCCCCGGCGAGGGCCTCCGGCGGGGCCCAGAGGGTGGGGCCCTTAGGGAGTAAATGCTCTTCGGAGGAGACACACGACGTCTAGGCCTTTCTAGGACATTCTTGTCTCGATGCCTCATCCCTGGACACCCAACTTGCCCAGAGTTAATGGGGAGGATCGATACTGCGGAGGACAAACATGAGTGAAGGGAGGAGCTGAAACCGGTGTGGCTCGGTGGATAGAGTGTCGGCCTGCGGATTGAAGGGTCTCGGGTTCGATTCCAGTCGAGGGCATGCACCTTGGTTTCGGGCACATCCCCAGTAGGAGGTGTGCAGGAGGCAGCTGATATTTCTAACTCTCTATCCCTCTCCCTTCCTCTCTGTAAAACAATAAAATATATTAAAACAAAAACAGAGTGAAGGGAGGAACCCATTACCCGGTGCCATTTGCCCCGAGATGTGACACAGAACGGATCAGGGGACGGACGAGGTCTCTGGTGGCGGTTTGCTGACTCGGAAGTCCCCGCAAAAGCTGGAGAGGAACCTCAGGACACTCCCATTGGGAAGGGGCAGTGATGTCAGAGGAACTGCTCCCCTCTCCTCCGGGAATCTGCCCTGCGGATAGCGAAGGAATAGGAAGGACCAGCAAACAGGGCTTGGGGATGAAGTCATGGTAAGTACTAATTAAAACTAACTCCTGGAAACAAAAACTTACACCAAAGCGTAAAAGTAATACAACGTACCACCGGGAGCACAGCTGTGGGCACTGCCATAATGCAGGAGGGCAAGCCGTAGCCTGTTGGCGTGGCCCCGTGGAGCGTGTCTGGCCCGGCTGTGGTCAGTGTCCGCTCGCTCTCCTCTGGACGCCCAGCAGGCCCTGCCTTCCTGCTTCCCGGCACAGCCACGGCCGGAGGCTCACTGACCGCCCCCTGAGGCCGGGAGTGCGGGCGGGCGGCTGGGAAAGCAGCACGTCGCCCCTTCTCACCCGGGAAGGGCTGTCTCTGTGGAGCAGGGAGGCCCTGAGTAAGCGGTACCAACAGGAATTTGTCACCGGTACCCCGCGCCGCCACTGCGATGAGAAGGTAGAGAAAACGCTAGGCGTGGGTAGAAAGACATCACTCTTTATAAATAGAAGGCTCATCTGTGCCAGTGTTCACATTAGAAAAATACACACGCCTTGAACAAGACCCCCTGCATGAACGAAGTAGATCGGGCTGCGTTCCGACTCCCTCTCGCGGGGCGGCCCCACGCCTCAGGCTCCAGAGGAGGCCCTCCCGGCGGCCGGCTGCAGGGCAGGCCGCTCCGCTCCGGCCGCTGGACGATGCCCGCCTCCCACACTGCGGCGCCGAGGGGGCAGGCCAGGCCGGAGGGGACAGGCCAGGCCGGAGGGGGCAGGCCGGGCCGGAGGGGGCAGGCCGGGCCGGAGGGGGCAGGCCGGGCCGGAGGGGGCAGGCCGGGCCGGAGGGGGCAGGCCGGGCCGGAGGGGGCAGGCCGGGCCGGAGGGGAGGGGGCAGGCCGGGCCGGAGGGGAGGGGGCAGGCCGGGCCGGAGGGGAGGGGGCAGGCCGGGCCGGAGGGGGCAGGCCAGGCCGTGGGAAGTCGGGAGAAATCCCTGTCCTGCCCCTGAGACAACAGCTGCTGCCCCGCCGGTGACCTCCAAGCCACGGCCTCGCCCGCCACCGCCACCTTGCAGTGGCCTCTGGTCAGTGTGGCCGGGTCCTGAGGGAGACTGGTCCAAGCCCCGCCCGAGCAGACAGCGGAGGCCCGGGCTGGGCCACGGGCTCATGCAGGGGTCCCTGCCCCTGGGTGCCAGGCCCACCAGGCAGCAGCTCCCTGCGCACCCTCCGTGGGGCTGCACACCGGCTCCTGCTGCTGCCTCGGCAAGTGCTTCCGGCTGCTGGCCCGGCCCAGGCTGGTGCCGCCACAGACCCGGTGTGGCGGGCCCTCCTCAGGGCGGGGACAGGGGGTCCCGTTTACCGGAGGGACAAACCCTGAGCGGGGAGGAAACGGGAGTCACCGGGCTGCGTACCCCTGGGCGCTGCGCCGTGGTCCCGCTGTTCCTGAGCTGCACCAGCGCACGCCCAGGACAGGAGCACAAGCCCTGCTGCCTGGCTCAGCTCCCGGCGCAGACTGGACGGAGCTGTGAGTGGATGGGCAGCCGTGGCAGGGAGCTGGGTCCCATGGGTCCGTTTTCCGTTCTCACAAATAAACCTGCCCCCCATCTCACCCCCGCCCCCTCCCTGGGGCAGGACTAAGCAATGACTGCGGAAACGGAGAGGCCTCTTTAAGTCATACCCGCCCCAGCGGGCGGTCTGCCAAGCTGGCTCTTAGGAGTTTCCCATGGTTCTAACATGCCCGGGTTCGAGGTGCCCACTCGGCAGGACTTGCTCCAGCTCGGCTGGCACTCGGGCCCAGGCTCCTGAGAGCCTAGCCAGACTCGGGGTGCTGGGGCCCTCCGGCCCACCACCCACCACGTGGCGGCTCTTCAGGGCCTCGGGGTTCCGGGACGCCTGGAGCGACAGGAGGGGAGGCGAGGTAAGGCTCTTGAGAAGCCAGAGGCTCTCCTGCAGGGCCACCGGCACCGGCCCTGAGAAGCAGGCTCTGAGCCCGAGGCGTGGTGACCGCCGCGCATTACCCTTGCTGGCCGCCCGGACACTCCGAAGCCTCGGGGGGCTCCTGGGCCAGAGCTGCCCCTCTGGTCCTCTTCGCCGAAGCCCGTGCCTCCTCTGCCGTCTAGGGAGAGCGGACAGGGACAGTCAGCGGGGACGGAGGAGCAGCGGCCCACCTCCCCTCCTGGAGCGGCCCCCCCCCCCCCCCCCCGCACAGGCAGCCCCCATCCCCCTCTTCCCCCCCACCCCCGCCCGCGCCATGCCCCCTGGCCCACCGCCTTCTCCCTCTTCGGCGGGCTGGCCGCCTCTTGGCCGCTGCACGTGTGTCCAGTGCCATCGGGGTGCGTGCCTTCCTTGCGCAGGAATTCCTCCGTGATCCCCAGGGACTCGGCCACCTGAGGGCACAGGGTGGGGATGAGCCTGCGGGGCCCTCTGGGCAGCGAGGCCGTCTGGCGGGAAAGGGAAGTCTGTGCGGTGGCAGAGCCCTGGGAGACGTCGCTCCCAGAGCCAGAGCCTGCGCTGGCGGTCAGGAGGCAGCAGCAGGTTTTTAGAAAAAACCAAACTCTCTCCAGGGCCACCACAAGCTTGGCAACGCTCGTCTGCTCGCCGCTGACTCGGCCCTGCGCCTCCCTGCGAACCCACTGTTCACAGAGTCCTGCCCGTCCCAGTTGTGGGCAGGACGTGGTCTGGGAACCTGGGAGCCGGCGCTGGACCCAGCTTCTGTCAGCCTGGCTGGCCCTGGCGGCCGCCAGGGACCACGGCCCTGGGGGGTGGGGATTCCGCAGGCTCCTGGGGAAGCGGCGGTGTACGGTCAGGTGGACAGTGTCAGCACGGCTGAGAGAACACCCAGAGCCTGGGGGCGGCAGGAGGCAGGGCAGATCAAGGTCAGCGGAGGCGAGGGGTCGGCAAGGTTCGCAGCAAGCGTCATGACAGTGCCCCCTGCGGGCATGACCAGCTCAGGGCGTGGCAGGGGGAGAGGGGGGACCACGTGGACACACTCCTCCAGCAAAGGCTTGTATCCGAAATAACATTTCTATCAGAAACAAACAAACAAGCAAAAACACACGAAAAAAGAAGGAAAAAACAGACAACACAAAAGGCATTTCTGTCAAGGTCCCAATATAGCTAAAGGCAATTCGATGACAATGACACTGAAATGAGAAATTTGTCAAAACAACGAGACCTCCGGGCTGTGTGTAACCCCAAATCTACAGGATGAAGGACCTGTGGACCCATCACCGAGCCTGGCCTCGGACAGCGGGAGGAGGGTGCGGAGGCTGGACCCGGGGCTGAGTGCATTTCCGTGTTTCCCGAGGGCTGCACCGCCTTCCCGGCCCCCGAGACCTCCTCCCGGCCCTTACCTCGGGGGCCTTGACGTCCAGGGGCTGGGAGCGCGGGCCGGGGTCCCGGAGGTAATGCTGACACATCTGCTTCACCGCCTGGTGCAGCTCCTCAAACTCCCTGTACACGGCCGGGAACGCGGGCTGTGCCGGGCGGCCACGCTCAGCCTGAGCGAGGGAAAGGCCCAGTGTCACCCGGGAGTCACCGGGGTTCCCTCCCGGCCCAAGCAGCCTGTGTGCCAGCAGCGCCCGCAGCGCTCACGGGCTGGGAGCGAAGGGGACGCAGTAGGCCTGAGGATGGCGCTGCTCCGGCCAGAGGGCGGCTCTGCTCCCGGCTACTGCACGGTGTGCGGTGTGGGTGTGGGTGAGGGTGTGGGTGTATCTATGGGGTGTGGGTGTGCAGTGTGGGTGTGGGTGAGGGTGTGGGTGAGGGTGAGGGTGTGGGTGTGTAGTGTGTCTATGGGGTGTGGGTGTGTGGTGTGGGTGTGGGTGAGGGTGTGGGTGAGGGTGAGGGTGTGGGTGTGTGGTGTGTGCAGTGTGGGGTGAGGGTGTGGGTGTGGGTGTGGGTGAGGGTGTGGGTGTGGGTGTGTCTATGGGGTGTGGATGTGGGTGTGTGCAGTGTGGGGTGAGGGTGTGGGTGTGTCTATGGGGTGTGGGTGTGCGGTGTGGGTGTGGGTGAGGGTGTGGATGAGGGTGTGGGTGTGGGTGAGGGTGTGGGTGAGGGTGTGGATGAGGGTGTGGGTGTGGGTGAGGGTGTGGGTGAGGGTGTGGGTGTGGGTGTGGGTGTGGGTGAGGGTGTGGGTGTGGGTGTGTAGTGTGGGGTGAGGGTGTGGGTGTGGGTGTGTCTATGGGGTGTGGGTGTGGGTGTGTCTATGGGGTGTGGGTGTGGGGTGTGCAGTGTGGGGTGTGGATGAGGGTGAGGGTGTGGGTGTGGGTGTGGGGTGTGCAGTGTGGGTGTGGATGAGGGTGTGGGTGAGGGTGTGGGTGTGTGGTGTGTGTAGTGTGGGGTGAGGGTGTGGGTGAGGGTGTGGGTGTGTCTATGGGGTGTGGGTGTGCGGTGTGGGTGTGTAGTGTGTGCAGTGTGGGGTGAGGGTGTGTGGTGTGTGCAGTGTGGGGTGTGGGTGTGCAGTGTGGGTGTGGATGAGGGTGTGGGTGAGGGTGTGGGTGTGTGGTGTGTGTAGTGTGGGGTGAGGGTGTGGGTGTGAGTGTGTCTATGGGGTGTGGGTGTGGGTGTGGGTGTGAGTGCAGGGCCGGGCACCAGGCCGGGAGCCGTGGGAGGAGGCCACGTGGGGGAGCCAGAGGGGGGGGCCGTGGAGGGAGGGCGGGGTGCTGGGCTGTGTGCTAGGTGTGCTGCTGCCCGGGCCGGGCCGGCAGCCGCAGTCGCCGCTGTCCGCGGGAAGGCCTGAGGAGGCTGGCTGACCTAACGGCGGGCGTCTCTGTACAGGCCCGGCCACCGGCCCGGCCGGGACTCGCCTTCTTCAGGAGGAACTGGTGCACGGTCACGGCCTGCGCCAGCCGGGGCAGCGCCAGCTCCACGAGGTCCTCTCGCGCGCACCGCTGCAGAACCTACCGGAAGGGAACCTCCATCAGCCAACAAGCTGGCGCCGCAAAGAACTTCAAGGGTTTGAGGAAGTCCCCCCAATCTCAGCGACGAAGCCACTCTACGCCACGGACGCTCGCTTCAGGAACTCTCGCTTGTGCCCGTAAACAAAACCCTGAGATCCGCCCAGACCCAGAGCCTGACTCCGACAGCCCTGAGCGCAGCGCGGATCCGGCTCTGGATAAGGACACGGCGGCGGGAGACGCGCACCCCCCAGGGCTCCGGCTCGCCAGCCCGAGACAAAAAGGCACAGCAATCCCAACCCAGCCAGTCAGGACCCCCCCCCACCCCCGCAAAGCACAGTGGGAGAGGAGGGGGACCAGGTGACAGGCAGTCAGGACCCCCCAAAGCACCGGTGAAGAGGAGGGGGACCAGGTGACAGGCAGTCAGGACCCCCCAAAGCACCGGTGGAGAGGAGGGGGACCAGGTGACAGGCAGGGCGGGGGTGGGGGGAGCATCTGAGAGGCAGCAGGGAGGGTGCAGTCCCAGGGCTGAGTGACTGCTGGAATGGGGAGGGTGCATGAGGGAAAGGAGAGCCATGGGTGCTCTGGGTGCCCGGCTGAGCTCTGGGCAGACCTTGCCAGGGATGGGAACCAGCTGTGGGATGTTTGAAATCGAGGCTGAGGGCCAGAGAGGTCTGAACAGGCGGTATGGATTCGGACATGGGAGCCAGCAGAGGAGCTTGGGCTGAGGCCTGGGAGGTGGACGAGATCAGCCAGGGCAGCAATAAGGGGAGGGGAGCAGCGAGCCCTGGAGGCAGGAAGGCCCCGAGGCTCGGGGAGGCTGAGGAGCAATCAGCTGGAGCCCAGGCTGGCAGGGTCAGCCCAGCAGTGGCTCAGGAAAGTCACAAAAGCAAAAGGCCGGCCTTTGGCATGCAGGACAAGGTACTGAACTGTGACTTGCAAAAGGCCTAGCGAACAATGGTCAGCTGGCTTCCTACACCCCAGGCGGCGTGGGCGGTGTGACCGTGGCATGGCCTTCCCACACCTGGCCTGCAGCAGCCAGGCCCCGCCTCCCTCTCTGGCATCGTCCCTGGCGGGGGAGCTGTCATCTCCCCAGAATGGGGTGTCTCACTGTCCCCTCCACACCCAGGACAGGCTGATCCGTGCAGACAGCGGTATGAACTCCAGCGCCTGGTTTGAGGGCCTCACTGTGAGTCAGGGTGTGGCCGGCAGGCCTTGGCTTCCCGTGCCATCTCGCTAACTGGGAAGGACCATCGTGTTCCAGTCCCCCTCACTCTGAGCAGCCGGCCGTGCGGACACCAAACAGCCAAGATCCAGTTCCAGACCTGCCACCTCGGGGCCTGTGGGAGGTGCAGCCTCCGGAGCTCCAGCCCCTCGCGGGTGAGCCGAGGTGACCAGCATCAGGAGCGCACAGGAGCTCAGCACGAGGTGGGGCCACGGCTGGCTGTGCAGAGGGCTGGGGGGGAGAGGGGGCGAGGCTAGTATGACTAGTGAGTGAGTCAAGCCAAGGCCTGCCTTCCTCCTACGATCAATTAACAAGCACGGCCCCAAAGCCCCGCCCCAGGCTCACCTTTCCCACGAGAACCTGACCTCGTGGAGCTTTCCAAGAACCCCCTTCCTGTGAAACCTCTTCCTCCCCTGCGCGTGGAGCCCGTGTCACTGGCTGACCTCGCGCTCTGGCTGGCTCTCACTCCCTAAGACATCAGCCGTCCGCCGTGACCAGGCAGATACATGCGTCCTGGCCAGAGGCAGCCCGAGGAAGTCCCACGTTTCCCCGATAGGCCAGCTAAATTCAGTGCACCGCCCTCGCTGGTGTGGCTCAGTGGATAGAGCGCTGGCCTGCAGACTGAAGGGTCCTGGGTTTGATTCCGGTCAAGGGCACATGCCCTGGTTGCGGGCTCCATCCCACGTGTGGGGCGTGCAGGAGGCAGCCGATCCATAATTTACTCTCATTATGGATGTTTCTATATCTCCCTCTCCTTTCCTCTCTGCAATCAATAAAAAAATATATTTTAATTTTATTTATTTATTTTTAAAATACATTTTATTGATTTTCCATAGAGAGGAAGGGAGAGAGATAGAGTTAGAAATATCGATGAGACAGAAATATCGATCAGCTGCCTCATGCACACCCCCCACTGGGGATGTGCCTGCAACCAAGGTACATGCCCTTGGCCGGAATCGAACCTGGGAACCTTCAGGCCAACGCTCTAACCACTGAGCAAAACCGGTTTTGGCAATAAAGATATTTTTAAAAAAGAAAATAAACTCAGTGCACCTACTTTCCAGGGCTGGGTTGGAGATTCCCAGACTCAAAACCTGAAACATGCTTTTGTATCTTTGTAATTTATCCCAGTAACAACAACAAAAATTATTTCTGTTGTTTTCTGAATGGCCTCCTTGGAAACACAGGTTAGGATTTTCCAAAGTGTGTACGGCACACAGCTCTTGCTACAGGTGAGGGTCCGTTCACACAGGGCAGCCGGGCGGCTTCAGGAAATGCCCTGGAAGTGCCTGCGTGCGTCCGGCCAGCACACTCCGGGGAACTGCACACCCACCCGGGATTTTACCTCCAATTCCGACGCCTCATGGCGAATCGCCGCATCCCACGCCAACCAGGGTTCAGGGGCGGAAGCGGACATACCTCCCGGAGCCCGGCTCTGCTCCTGGCAGCCCGGCTCCGGCCCTCGGGGGCGGGGGGGTAGCCCCTTTCCGGTCCTGGGTGTCTCTCCGATTCCCAAAGGGCTGAGGACCGTCCATCTGCTGGCTCCGACAGCGACGCCTCCTCCGCTTCTCTAGGCCCACCGTCCTGGACAGCATTGGGAGGGCGACAAGGGGAGACGTGCTCAGGCGTCACTGCCCCAATCCCGACCTTCCCCAGGCGCACTGCCAGCTGGAGTGCGCTGCGCAGCCTTAGGACCACTTCGGAGGCACTGGCTGCCCACCGCGCTGCCCGGACAGACACCTCCCTTCCCCGCAGCGGGCCCACGGGGCTCAGATCCCCACCGAGAGGACTGGGTTCTGCTCGAGCCTTTCCTGAGCCCCTCACACACCACAAAGGCCGCTTTAGGGAGGACAGCAGCAAGGGCCGGGCCACCACGAGCATCCTCACCTGCAGGCTGCCCTGAGCTGATGGGGCCCCTCGGGCTCTCAGGGGAGCTGGTGGGGACCGCCCCGGGGACGCGGGCCCTCGGGGCCTGCCCTCCGCACCGCCCCGGGCCGTGCTCCCCGTGGCTTCCTCGGACAGCGCCGGCTCCGGCTGGGGCTGGCCGTGGCCCGGCTGCAGTCTGAAGTGCCGGGCCAGCCCGCCCTGCCCAATGTAAGACTTCCCGCACGCCTGACACCGGAAGGCTCGGGGCCTCAGGGAGCCGCTCGGCAAGTCAAAGAGTGCCTGCTTGTCCCTCTGCTCCTCCTCCTCTTCCACACTCAGTTCCGAGTAATCGTCCGAGTCGGAGGGGTGGCTGTCGGCCAGGTCCTCCATCCTTATGAATTTATAATCTTTGGCTTTGTGCTTGGGAGGCCGAGAGATCCGCCCAGAGCGTGTTCTCACTTTCAGAGATGTCTTTAGTTTCTCAGTGTGTTTTGTATGCAAGTTGGAGATAAATAAATTTGCTGAACTGGATGACACAGATGTCGCTGCCAGCGGGCCGGAGGCTGCCCGAGGGGTGGATGTGGCGCCCGGTCCATCTGGCGCCTGGGGGGCCACAGGCCTCACCGCAGGGACCGGCTGGACGGCGGGCAGTGGCCTCTGGAGCAGCACCTGGACGGGAGGCTGCGGCCGGGCGCTCAGGAGGGGCTGTGCCCTGAGCAGCCGAGGGCTGGCAACGCTGAGCCCCAACACATGGCAGTGCCTTCCGGGTGGCTGGCCCAGCCGGGCTGTCCTGGGATGGACGGTGGCCAGCTGGGGCTTCGGCCTTTCCTGACCTTCCGTGTCTCCAGAGATTACCGTGACACAGATGGTCCCCAGTTGCTGAAAGAGAAAAGCATTTAGCTTATCAATTTTGCTCTCATCTTAAATCCACCACTGACATTTTCCTACATTATAGAATGCACCGGCCTCGGGGCTGAGTTGCTTGGGTGTGGTCACATGCACCGAAAGGCTGCCGGTTCAGTTCCCGGGCAGGGTGCGGCCAGGGTTCTGGGCTCCATCCTTGGTTGGGAGTGTGAAAGGCAACCAGTCAGTGTTTTAGTCTCACACTGATGTTTCTCTCTCTTTCTCTTTCCCTCCCCCCTTCTCTAATTATCAATACAAAAATCTTTAAAAATATAACATTATGCCCTACCGTCATGGCTCAGTGGTTAAGCGGTGACCTATAAATCAGGAAGTAATGGTTCAATTCCGTCAGGGCACATGCCCAGATTGTGGGCTCCATTCCCAGTGGGGCAGGAGGCAGCCAACCAATGATTCTGTCTCATCATTGACATTTCTAACTCTCTCCATCTTCCTTCCTCTCTGAATTCATAAAAATGTATGAAAAACTAAATAAGATTATAAAATACATCTCAGGTATATTAAAGACTATGTAATATAGGGTATCCAAAAAATATATACACACACTTTGAATAATTATAAAAGCAGTGCTTAATCAAATACATTTCATTTTTGAAATTGAGCTGTCAACTGTTGACGTGTGTAGTTTTTGGGACAGTCTGCATATCTGTACTGTTTATAGTGATGTTTCTGAACCTTTCTGACCAAAATGTGACAAGTGATACATTTTGTCACATCCATAGGTTAGTGTAGAAACGTTTGCACATCCTATATAATAAAGAGGGACTATGCTAATTGACCCTCATGCTGTTGCAAAGATGGTGGCACCCACAGCCAATGAATGAATATGCTAACTGACTGCCACACCCTCAAAGATGGCAGTGCCCAGAGCCACAATGTGGCAGGGCCCGGTCCCATCAGCCCCGCCAGGGCAGCAGATGCCTGGCCGCTCCATGCACCTGCCTCCGGAGTCGCCCAGCTGCCCAGGGCTGCCTGAGGCTCAGGTATCCAGGGTAGGCTGAGGCTTGTGCTACCAGCAGCAGCAGAGGAGTGATGGGGCGTCACCTTCCCCTAATCACTGGGTGACCCCCCACTCCTGAGGGCTCCCTGACTGTGAGAGGGGGCAGGCCGGGCTGAGGGACCCCGCCTCCAGTGCATGAATTTTCATGCTCCAGGCTCTAGTAAACAATAGAAGTGCAACCCTCTAGTTTCCGAACTACCAGGGAACAAAAATGGCCTAAATTTTTAATCTGCCGTGGACCCTGGTTTACCATGTGGGTATCACACTGGCTACTTCGCTACCTGTTCGCTTCATTTGGCGAACTTTCTAAGTCTCTCTGGGGGCCAGCGTAAACATAAGCAAAGCCCTGCCTTCCTGGAGGAGGCGGGCAGTTCCCTGCCCTGCCTCAGTCACCCTCGACCAGCTGAATCTGGACCTCCTGCCCGAAGCCTGTCCTTTCAACAGCTCCACTGCTGACTCCAAAGGCGGAGAAGTTCCCTAAGGAACGCAGACAGGAAAGCAATGCCACTGCCGCCTGGTGCACAGGTGCAGGGGGGCAGGGCAGGGCCGCCCAGGAGGTGGTGGCTTCCCAGGAGAGATGACCTCTGGGGGCGGGGGAGGGAGGCAGAGGATGAGTAGAATTTTTCCAGGCAGGAAGCTTTTCTACGTGTAAGAAAAGCAGGGCCAGCGAATAGAGAAAGCTCGCAGTGTTCCTGCGGGGCAGGAACGAGAGGGTCAGGACAGCCGGACCCGTGGGGGTGTCCACTGGGTCTGTGCCTCCTGATCCACGCCACCCCACAGAGAACCACCTCTAAAAGCACCCACCCCACCCAGCATGCCGCCCCTTTCTCATTTTCAACGCAGCCCTTCCAGTCTAGTGCAGACACCACCTCTCCCACACCGCTGACCCCTCAGCCAGAAACCCTTCTCTAACCCACTTAGTCCTGACCTGTGCCTCAGGCTTTCTTTTCATTAAAGGTTCTTATTGCTTTTAGAGAGAGGGGAAGGGAGGATAGAGAGAGAAATGTGTGCCCTGACTGGGAACCTATCCAGTGACCTCTTGGTTTATAGGTTGATGTTCAACCACTGAGCAACACGGGCAATGTGCCTCCAGCTTTCTGTGATCAGAAGCGAGGAGTGTTTTACCGCCCTGGTTAGGTTATCACCCCCTTAGGGGCAAGGGGCACATCTTGCTTGCCTCTGGGGCACAGCTGGGGCGCAGAGTATTAGCTGAACAGGACGCACAATCACATTATGATTTCAGGTAGAATTTACATCCTCCCTTGAAATATGAATGTTTATTGCATGTAACATTATATTTAAAATCGTTTTTCTTGAAATATTAAAAAATATTTAAAAATTATTTTTAAAAAACCACACACACAGAATTTATCTTCTCCCAATTAGGTCAGCTACAGAACACAATCGTGCCTCCTCACTCTGGTTCAGTTTGCTTTCATTTGGTGGAAAATGTCATTTTTGGACTCTTTCCTAAGTTGCCATAACAAACCCAGAAGGCAGTGGCCGCATTCAACAGGCCCTGGAGTGCAGCCTCACCCGGGGACCCTGGGCAGTCACCTCACCCCGTGGTTGGCAAACCGTGGCTTGTGAGCCACATGCTTTGGCCTCTTGAGTGTGGCTCTTCCACAAAATACCATGGCCTGGGTGAGTCTTTTTGGAATAAGTGGCGTTAGAAGAAGTTTGTTTTAAAAATTAGGCTCTCAAAAGAAATTTCAGCCGAAACTGGTTTGGCTCAGTGGACAGAAGGGTCCCAGGTTCGATTCCGGTCAAGGGCATGTACTTTGGTTGTGGGCACATCCCCAGTAGGAGGTGTGCAAGAGGCAGCTGATGGATGTTTCTCTCTCATTGATGTTTCTAGCTCTCTCTCTCTCTCTCCCTTCCTTTCTGTAAAAAAGTCAATATATTAATTTTTTCCCCCCAATCGTTGTACTGTTGATATTTGGCTCATTGACTAATGAGTTTGCCGACCACTGACCTAACCTCTTTAAACGCGTTCCTCGTCTGTAAAACGCTGACACAAACCCGTGTGTGTGGCTGCTGAGCCACACTGCGCACGCAGCACGGGGCCAGGCCCGGAGCAGCGGCTGCAAAGGACAGCCACCCTCCCCATGACTGCGCACTTGCTGTGCCAGCACATGCGGGAGGAAGCAGTTTGGGCAGAATGGTACTTGTCTCCCTGAGGAACTGGGTACAGCTCCCAGAAGCCCAAGTCACCAGGTGGTGGTGGTGGTGGGGGTGAGGGCCGGGCCCGGACTGTGAGGACTGGGCTTCCGCTCTCGCCCAGTTCCAGGAAGAGGCCGCCTGCGCTCACAGCCCGGCGCCGAGGGGGGACCTGGGCTCCGGGACAAAACCGTCTCAGTCCCAACTTCCCTGCGAGCCCAGCGCGGCGCCTGGAAATAACGCCCCGGAAAGGAGGCGTGGCGGGGCATGTTTTGCCTGTTTCACCCCTGAAGGTACGGCAGCGCTGTGCAGGGACCCGTTGCAAACCCAGGCCCTCCGACTGCGGGCGCTGGCCCCGCGCCCCGTCGGAAGGGACTTAACTCTGCGCGGCCGGCGGGGCCCCGGGCGGCAGCGGTCAATGATCCCCTCTCCCTCCGTCTCTGAAATCAGTAAAAATGAGCTTTTTGGAAAGGAATGTACTTAATTCCGTCCCGAGTCGCAGGTCTCGGCGTTGGCTGCTTTGAACCTTCGGTCTCCGGTCCGGCCCGGCCCGCGCAGGCTCTCGGCGCCCGGCCCGGCGGCCCGGCCCCGGCGGGGGGCGCGGGGAGCGGCGGGGCCGGCGCGGGAGCCAGGCCCCGGCGGAGCCCGCGAGCCCCAGGGAGCCCGGGGCGGGACCGAGCCTGCCCGCGGCGGCGGCGGCCTCCCCGGCGGTGCGGCGCCGGCCGTTCCCACGCCCCCCGGCGCCTCACCTGCGGCGGCGGCGGCGGCGGCGGCGGCGGCGGGGCGGCCCGCGGGGCGGAGGGCGGCGGCCGCGCCTGCGCCACCTGCTCCAGGACCCGCCGCAGCTGCTCGGGGCCCAGCGGGGCCAGGCGCGAGGAGCCGCCGCTCCGGCCCGGGGGCCCCGGCTCGGAGCCCGCCATGGCGTCCGACGCGGGGACTCGAACCGGGGCCGCCGCGCAGACTGGCCTCTCGGGAAAGGGGCGGCTACGAGTGCCGGGCGGGCCAAGAAGCCTCGGAAGGCGACCGCGAAAAGAGACGGCGGTGGGCGGGGCCTGGCGTGGCCCCGCCCCTCGCTGCCCCAGCGCCAGAAACAGCCAACCGCCGCCTGGCCCTCTCCTGCGGGGGCACCTCCGGCGGCTCCTCAAAGCTGCCCGGAGGCCAACCTTTCCTCTCCCCGTCAGGCCCGCAAGTGAAACGGACGAGAGACAGATTAACTAGAACAAAGACAAAGAGTGACCGTGTTTTCATTCCTGTACCTACCAGCACTCACAGAAAGAAAGGACGGTACCCGTGTTAACAGGGGCGGGGAAGGAGGGCCCGGGGAACAGGTGGCTGGGGGGGGGGGGGGGGGCGCGGTGATAGGCCTTACGCAGCGGTGCGGCTACGATGGTTTGGACACTGCCCCTTTAGGTGTCTGGGTTAGTCTTTCCTGATCGCTCCCGGGGGAGGCCTGTAAGCGCAGTTTAATTCTTCTGAGTCCCTTTTGGGAGGCTCTGCTTTTTTAGGCAGAAAAGGCTGTTCAGGAATTCAAATGCCTTTTGCTCAAAATAGTTTTTACGTCACAGAGGCATGTCTGGACCCCTTCACGCCTCGTTCAAGAAAGTGTGCACTCCGAGGGCAGCGGTCTCGGCTGCCTCCTCCTCTTTGTGTCCCTGCATCGAACTAGGAGCCTGACTCAGACTCCAGGATGTGACATGTAGCTCGTGTGCAGGAGCCCAAGGCCAGGCCCCCTTCTGGTTACAGATGTTCTCACTGGAGATTTTATTTAATAAAAAATATATATATATATAATTGATTTCAGAGAGAAAGGGAGAGGGGGAGAGAGAGACAGAAACGTCAATGATGAATCATTGATTGGCTGCATCCTGGGGAGCGAGCTCACAGTCCCAGCATATACCCTTGACCTGAATCAAACCCGGGACCCTTCAGTCCGAAGTCCCACCCTCTCTCTATCCACTGAGCCAAGCCAGGTAGGGCCTCACTGGAAATTTTTCAAAGATGTCTTAAACCCTTGCTCTAGACCCTGATATAAAAGGGCATTGACCTTGTTCTTACCATTTTGGCTCAGTGGCTAGAGCATCAGCCTGTGAACTGAAGGGTCCCAGGTTCCATTCTGGTCAGGGGCATTTACTTTGGTTGCAGGCACGTGTTTCTAACTCTATCCCTCTCTCTTTCTGTAAAAAGTCAAAATACATTTTAAAAATAAATTGCATCTTCCCTTAGGATTTTATAAATAAATATATAAATGAATAAATGAATAAATGAATTAAAATAAAATAAAATAAAATAAAATAAAATAAATAAATAAAAATAAAATAAAATAAAATAAAATAAAATAAAATAAAATAAAATAATAAAATAAAATAAAATAAAATAAAATAAAATAAAATAATAAAATAATAAAATAAAATAAAATAAATAAAAAAGTAACTGAATTTTTGCTAAAAGGGAATGCCCTGGCCCGTACGGGGATCGAACCCGCGACCTTGGCGTTATTAGCACCACGCTCTAACCAACTGAGCTAACCGGCCAGCTGGGGCCAGACTGGAGCCACAACGCCTATGAGGGTTCTGCGCCTGCGCTCCCGGGCCGACTCCGGCCGGCTCCCTCCCTCTCCCGCGGCGCTGCCGTCACTCCCCGCGGCCGGGAAAGCCGAGGCCGGGCTTTCCGGCGGGAGGCGGGCGGCTTCCTCCAGCGGACGGAGTCTTCAGGGGAAAATGCAAATTGCCTTCGCTTGGGAGAAAGGCTTCCAACACTGCAACTCACGCTAGTTTTACCTCCCAGAACCCTGGCGGCTGGGAAAGGAACTTCGTGCATCCAGAGCGTTCGCTTTGGCTAAATAAAGCTTAGAAAGTAACGGGAACCCGAGAAGGGACAAAAGAACCACCGACTTTCCCACCGCCCGCTAACCGCCGCGGCTGGGCCCTGGCATCCTTCCTTCCATCCCCCCACCCCCCACCCCTTACAGACATGCACAGGGTGTCCCCCCAAAAGTATACAGACTTTAACAGCTCAAGCTCAATGGATGTTTCTATCTTTTCAGATTTAACCCACAGGCATATATCATTATTCTAAGTGTGTATACATTTTTGGGAAACCGTGTGTGTGTGTGTGTGTGTGTGTGTGTGTAATATATATAATTCAATATAACCTTGCTTAAGATATCATTTTTTAAAAATATATTTTATTGACATTTTACAGAGAGGAGGAAGGGAGAGAGATAGAGAGCTAGAAACATCAATGAGAAAGAAACATCTACCAGCTGCCTCTTGCACACCCCCTACCAGGGTTGTGCCCACAACCAATGTACATGCCCTTGACCGGAATCGAACCCAGGACTCTTCAGTCCGCAGACCGACGCTCTACCACTGAGCCAAACCGGTTTCAGCAAGATATCATTTTAATCTTGTTTTTTACTTAGTATTCTATCCTAAGTCTATCCCTAAATAATTGCAAATGCCATTTTAAATGGTTCCTCCCCTTTTATACTGTCTGGAAATGTCTTCATTTGCCCTCTGATTAACTAGCACAGGAGTAAATCCTGGGTGTGCATCCGACAATATTCACTCCGAAGGGCCACGGTCTGCAGGCAGTGAAATAAAGCAGAGAGAACGTGTTGGCACAGAGTCCAGACACTTGTTGGCTCCTCAAACCTGTGTGTCCCAGGGGCCATGCTCTCTGAGGGGCCTGAGATCCCCACTCTGGTCTGAATGCTCACAAAGCTGCTCCCAAGCCCGTGTTCCACCAGATTCCCGTGTGAGCAGAAAGCCCAAGTCTGGCTCAGCTCAGCTGAACAAATTTAGTAGAAAGGGTGGGCATCCGGAAGGTGAGAGGCCCATGCTTAGACAAAAGGCTACTTCGTCAAGAAAAAAAAGACATTAAGCCGGACAATGCCCTAAACCGGGCAACCAGCCAGGAGTAAAATAGGTGACCCAGACCACTGGGGGCCAGCAATGGCGGGGTCAGAGGAGCGGAGCGCTCGGACTGTGCTCAGGGCCTGTGAGGAAAGCGTGCTGGTCATGGAGGGCTGGGCAGACCCCTGAGACGGCAGCACTTGACAGTGTTCTGAAGGACCACGGTGCGTAAGTGTGCACCAAAGTGGGCAGAGCCCTCTGGGCAGGGGGAACTGCTGGTGATGACGGGCACCCTCTCCATTGGCTTACCTCTGAATGCCCAGAGCGCGCCACGGTCTGCAGCAGTATATGTTTAATAACAAGAGGCAGATGGATGGATGAGCTCATTTAAAAAACCTGACATTTTATAACATAGTCATTTCTCTGTGCAAACTCTCCACTTCTGGCCAGGCACAAATAATTTATATGTGTTATGCAATATTCGGGACATACTTATACTAAACTGATACTTGTGTATCTAAAATTCAACTTGACTAGAAGTTCTCTGCCTTACCGGGCACCCTACACCAGAGTAGCAGCCTGTGGAAAGAACCCATCTAAGTGTGTGTGGGTGTGGGGGGGCTGTCCAGCAGGGTCTGGGGGCGGGGGACAAGGTGAGAGAGGAGGCTCACAGTGGCTTTGGTGGCAGGATGGGAAACGGTGTGCTGAGCATTGAGGGTTGGCGGTGTCTTGGGACATCCACGCTGGAACAGGCCTGGAGGCTCCCAGGGAGGTCTGGGCTAGAGGTGCTCCCAGCCTCTGGGAAGATTGCAGGGAAAGCTGTGGGTGTGCACCAGCTGGTCTGGGGCTGGGGGAGGGGTGAGAGCAGATGGGGTGCACTCATTGGTGAGCCCCATGGAGCACCTGGTCCTCAGAGGGATGGGTGTAGCTAGTGTGGAGGCTGAGGGAGGGAAGTTCAAAGAGGAAGGTCACTGGGTGGATGCCCAGAGGTGCCATGGGGCTGAGGAGCTGTGGGAGGCAGGCAGACCAGTTGTCAAGTCCCTGCCAAGACCCAGGGACAGGGGTGTCGGGGGTCCTGGGATGAGAACAGTCAGCTAAGTGGGCGGCAGATACCAGACCCATTTCCAGTTCAGGGGAGCTACCACCTGTGGGAAGCGGGGAGAGGAGGGCCCCTCCACTGCACCACAGGCTTCGGGCTTCTGTGATGGACAGCTGGTGCCTTGGGTAAGCAGGGAGCCCAGAGGAGTCAGGGGGAGAGGGGGAAGCCTGTAGCCCGGGCAGGGGGTCCGAGGCAGCCGACCTCAGGCCTGAAGCTCAGGAGTGGTCAGTGCTAGGGGAGCAGGAGGTCAGCCCTGCAGAGGGGGCGGGGTGAGGGGGGACTGCCTGCACGGTGCAACCCGGGAGCCAGCGCCCAGGAAGCTTTCAGTGAGTGTCTGTGGAGGGGATGGGAGTGCCCCGGGGGCTGGCCAGTGGGAGCCTGGAGAGCTGTCCCAGGCGGGAGAGAGTCAGGGACAGAGGCTGAGAGTTCCCAGGGAGGGCCTGGCCAGGGTCAGACCCTGCAGCAGCCCAAGGCCAGGGGAGGCGGCCTGCAGGGTCTGCGCTCAGTTTGGGTCCAGCACGGGGAGGGCGGCGCGCTGAGTGCGGCTCTCACAGGAGCTGGGCCCCGGCAAAGAACGGGAGGGGGGCGAGGAGGCACCTGCCAGCAGAGGCTGGTGAGGAAGGAAGGGTCACGCAGGTGGCAGCTGGACAGCCCGCCATGAGAGTGGGTCGGGGGGATCTCAGGTGCCTCCCTCCCTCCTCTGCCTCTTCCCAGTGGAGTAGCTTGGAAAATCCAAAGGATGGTCTGGAGCTGAGCTCCTGCTGTGCTATAAACCCCAAATCAAAATGGACTAAACTCACATGAGCTTACAACACACCCAGGACTGGGACGGCTGCTGCCTGGTGAACAGGAAGCCTCCTTCCTCATGCTCTGACCGCCTGGCCCCGGGAGGTCTGCATTCCAGGGCCCAGGAGCCTGGGGGCCCACTCGGGGAGCCCGGAGCCCCAACATCGCTGCCAGTGATGGG